GTTACCACTGTTTATGTACCCTCTGTTGTTGTTACCACTGTTTATGTACCCTCTGTTGTTGTTACCACTGTTTATGTACCCTCTGTTGTTGTTACCACTGTTTATGTACCCTCTGTTATATTTGTTGTTCTTACGCTGATTAATCCCACTGTTGCTGGACTCTCCATAACTGCTGTTTGAATTAATTGTTGCTTTTGCTGTTCATATATTTCCAATTGCTGCTTGTATCTGTGCACTTTCTGATTGCGTTTGTGCACTTGATGCTTTTGTTTGTGCACTTATTACTTGTGCTTGGGCACTTATTACTTGTGCTTGTGTACTTATTGCTTCTGCTTATGCACTTGCTACATCTGTTTGTGCACTTGCTGCTTATGTTTGTGCACTTATTGTTTGTTTGTGTACTTGTTTGTTTGTGCACTTACTGCTTGTTTGCACTTATTGCTTCCATTTATATACTTCGGCTTCTGTTTGTGCACTTGCTGCTTCTGTTTGTACTTAATGCTCCTGTTTGTATACCTGCATTATCTATGTACAGTTGGAGGACTTTTCCATTTGTTACAGTCAGTGTTATCAATCCGAAGTATTCACCAGCGAAGGGGAGAGGTGGTTAGGGGATGACGTGGGTGGAGGGTTACGGGGGCTGAGGCCAGGTTGAGAAGGGTGTCTGACGGGGCTAGAGCGGTGGGAGAGGTTTAAGGAGTTACTTGAGGAGTTATAACGTAGTATGTATAAAGCAATGATATAAATGCTTAGAATGTTTTACCGCACATTAGGGTGATATTTCCTGCTTGTGCAACAGACCTGAGTACTTTATTTGTTTATTGATTTATTTATTTTCTTTTTAGGCAATTCACGTAATTTTTTATTTTTATTTATTGGGCACTCCCCTACATCCTTGTGTAAGGTGAAGCGCAGAAGCGTTTACAGCTCCCAACAGGAAAGCATCCTAAGTTCATGCTTGCCTTTATGTCTCACGAGTTAAGGGTGTAGAAGCATGAAGAGTCAAGGGCGTAGAAGCCTGAAGTGTCAATGGTTTATGTCATCAAGTTATTGGAAGCTCCAACAACTTTCCCTGAATACGAATTCGCAACTTTCGACTTACAACAGGTACCTACTTTACTGCTAGGTGAACAGGGACTAATGGGAGCTAGGAAGTAAGTCCAAACAACTTCCACCGGCCCGGGAATCGAACCCGTTACATATCGCTTGCGAGGCAAGAACGGTACTGCTTCTACCACCGGTCCCCCATTCACGTAATTTAGGGGTGATAGGAGTGCGGGCTGGCGTCTCAATAATGATATCCTTTATGGCATGGTGATTTTCATGACCCAATACGTGAGGGCTATATTAGATTATATTTACATTAACATCAAAATTTTAGTTTGTAATTTGCAATAAAAACACACCGAAGAAATTGCCTAACTACGTTATAAGTCAATCGGCAGTAGTTCCACACGTTGCAAGCATTTCCTGTTTGGTTATAGTTTTAATAGTCATGCCGTTTATTCACTGAGTGGTCAACGTTTGCTTTCATTTACGAGGTTGATCAGAAGTCGTAGCCTCGCACAGGTCCCTCTCATTATGGTTGTGTGCAGGTTAACACTTAGCAAGGCACCATACAGATGTAATTTATTATTATTTGACATAACACCCTTGAAGGTTATTATACAGACACATATTTAAGTTTTGTTTTGAAAGTAACTGTGTTCGGAGACCTCTGCATCTTGCTAAAACATGTAGGGGAGCAGCCTTCACCGTCCCTTCTCCCCGGGCTGTGGTAGTTGGGAAATTTGTATTCAATAATATTACGTAACTAAGACGTTTATGAATGTATATAAAAGTTTTTCAATGAGATGACTCGACGAGCGTAATACGGCCGCCAAACTCTTGCAGGTTTGCGACAGTTGTTATTAAATCATTTGTTTGCCGTCAGTTCAAAGCAACGTGATATTAATTTATTTATTACATGTTTGAGCAACGTTGGTGCTTTATATGCTTCGTTGTTTACATTTTCTAACATTGATTGATGTAGTGTGGGAGTTTATCACATCATACACCTAACTAGCGTGTGAACTAGCCTCCTCTGGGTCAAACATGGGGGTTTGTATATGTCTTTATGATGATATTAGTGATTATGTAGTCTTCACTGATATTTAGGCGATGTAAATTTAAGAGTAGTGGGTGTCCTGGTTGAATCCAGGAAAAAGAGTCATGAAAAAGTCACAGATATAAAGACACGGAAAAAACCTAACCTAACTTAACCTAACCTAACCTACGTGCAATGCCTTCATATATATATATATATTGTGTTGTCAATGTGTACAAATCAAGTGACTTTTTTTCCTGTGGACAATATTTCCGTCCACCCTCCTGGTTACCTGCCCCCGGGCCCCGCCCCACACTCACACACCCTCGCCTTGACAATACACCTGTGCGGTTTGTATTCTCAAACTTTAGTGTCAGGTAGTAGCACTATTTTAAGAATACATAATTGCAAAGATAGAGCGATACCTTTAGAAACTGAGGGAACTGCTGCTTGTTCGTTCATCACAGCAGCCCATACTCCTGGTACTAAGGTTTACTTCACACAAGAAGCAGGAAGATACCCTGACAAAGTCTAAGGTCAACAATGAAATACCCGGTAACGAAATATCTGTATAGAACAAAACTTTAGAAGTCATATGGATTGGAATTGCATTCAACAAAATGCTTATACTGTGTATGTACGGAAACGATTGAAACATTTATTGCCAAAAGATATTACAAGGAATATATTACCTTGCATGCATGAATACCAATAAGCACCCTTGATATATTATTGCAATGTACAATATATAAGTTTGCACTGACTCATATCCATATATTATACAGTATATGGATATGAGTCCGTGCAGACTTATATATTGTACATTGCAATAATATAACAAGGGTGCTTATTGGTATTCATGCATGCAAGGTAATATATTGATGAGAATGAATACAAATTGTTGCAGAAAACAAAGAACTATGGTTTACACAAAGGACACAAACCTAGTTAATACGCGGATATAAAATGTCTTTATACTGTATACTGTTTTTGAAAAAATGATGACGCTCATAGACTGTTGAGGCAAGTTAATCGTTGGCTACTAAATGAGTGATTATCGTGATACACTATTTACGATTACGAAGTATTTGAAAGAATATTTTAGCCACAATTGACATTAAATTGGTGTAAATTTAGAGGTAACAGTAAGTTATAGTGGGTGTCTCTGCGGTCCGCCCCCACCTTCCCTCCACACACACAGGTAAAGTAAGTAATGGTTGTCCCTCGTGTTCAAGAATGGCGAGTTAATGGTGTAGAAGCTGTCTCCAACACAACAACCACACCCTGAGTTAACGAGCTGCATGACCCAGTATCAAGGAATAGTCCGAGAAGACCGGACAACTCGCCAACTGCACTGGCTAACCATTACCCCAGAACACGATCCGCAAATCGATTAACATCCAAGTTAGACTGAGGTAAATAGCATAAAGAAGCTTACTTTTAGTTTCACCCTGCCCAGTTGTCGAACCGGGGTCCACTCGCTTGCTAGGCGAGCATGCTGACCATTACACCACATGTGAGACAATTTATTATACACGAGTACCTGCACTCTATATGTAGTGCTTGGTGATGGTTTACATAAAAATAGATAGACCAGTGAGTGACCTAATGTAGCTGGTGGTTGTTTGCATGTAGTTGATGTCTGTTCATATATAAACAATTAAACCCAGTGTCAATAAGGGCTACGATCGTTGGGGCAGCACTGTATTTTGACCTGAAATTATTACTGTATTCTGACCTAAAATCATTAATGTATTCTGACCTAAGACCAATACTGTATTTGGAGATAATGCTAATAATGGATTTTGAACCTCAGACAGTCACTGTACCCTGTGTTGGTAAGCAGTTGGCGTTGCTAATCATGACCTTTACCATTTTCTTCTCGGGGAATATAAATAAATTATAAACGAATGAAATTACTTGAGAGAAGACGGATTATCGACGAGTTCAGGTGTACACGGTAATTAGTTAAAGTTAGTCCTCGTAATATTAATGGATGACTTGTACACCTGCCGCCGTTGGTGCTCGTGAATCACAACACAACCACATGACTGTTTTATAACCTGGCAGCGTTCAGGTATCGTCTGTCTCCGTCCACACCTGTACTTACGTCTTGATTGTCTACACACACACACACAAACACACACACGTAATTACTCGCATAAAATTATAATCAAATGTTGAAATTATGTTCAATGATGACATAATATCAATCACTCATATCATAACTACCTAAAACTCATTGGATAATAATAGTAACCAACACTACAGTATACAAGGTGGTCCAAAAAATTCCTATTGATCGACGAGTTGAAGATTACCTTTGTGGAATGAATAAGTTAAATTGAGAGTGGAGGAAGTGGAAGTGGTAGGAAAACTCTCAGGGTGGATTGTGTGGAAGAATTATTGATATCTGTGAGTTTTTGTCGTGCGATTTGATCATTTGCCGATATAAATGTAAAATTGTGAATACTTCATGTTATTGCTGACTTTTGGGATACCCTGTACAGAACAATAATACCTAGATTGTACTCGTATAAGACTCATTGTAATCGAGTTTATTACGTGTATGTCAAGAATAGTTGAAACACTGTAATGCTGTAAAAATTAATTTAATTTTCATGTATTGTATGTAGATAATTACCGTCGGCCATGGTGTGTTAGCTATAAATCAAATGAAACGAAACATAGTCTATATCTGCAGTCAATTTCTTAATCTTTTCAGGTCATAAGTGATAAGATGTGGTATTGGTAGTTGTAGGGTACCCAAGACGCCGCTGTCAATAACACACGACTTTATACATGCATCCTCTCTCTCTCTCATAAGCCATCCCTACAGTAAATGTCTGGTCATATTCTCCTCCGTTGCTGCTCAAAGGTATCACTCTGGTTTGGATTAATTCAACACTAAACAATAATTTGAAGAAGTATATTTTTCAATGATTGCAAATATAAATAAATGATGGCAGTGGTGGAGTAAGATACAGGATTTATTTTACTTTACACAAGACATAAATTGACTCTCCCACCGGTGCATTGACTATAAAGTGACTACAGGGTGCATACGACTAATTGCATTACCTGGAAATACCTGTAGTTTAGAATATGACAGGTAGGTTACACGACTTAAGAATCCTTATTGTAAGTTTTGTTCTGTGAAATGTACAGTATATAAATTACACATTTATGTAGCAGTGTTTATAGTATCATGGTCAGGTCTTAATCTTTTAATTCAGACGGATTATGTGATTTATTTATAAACCTTTTATGTAAATATGTCGTCGGACAATAAGTACGGAAATATCGCTACAAAAATAACGAACTTTTTCAAATAACTAAAGTTCACTGTTCACTAAGTTAATTTTTTTACGATTTTCCAGATTTTGTGAATTTACGGTTTTTGGGGAATTATTGATTTTTTCGGAGTGTTTCCTCTGCCACGCAAGACAAGAACTCTTGTGGGAATTAATGTAAAGTATTATCATGAACTGTGTTACTTATCACGTTGGACGAATATATTGTCCAGCTATGTAGGTTTGATGAGTTATTCCCACAAAAGTGCATTGATCTGTGTGAATAGTGAGAAGAAATGATATGATAACTTTAACTCCTCTCTGGAATATCTTGTACATTATTGACAAAACCACCATAAGTGATGAAATAATATGTCAAGGAAGCCTCGTCTTTATCTTTTTTATAATTAAGAACACACAGCATTATGGAAGTATTCTGAGTTAGTGTTGTTGTCATGTTCTGAGTTTAACCCATCGTGTTCCAGGTCAAGATGTATGGTGGCCTCATGATTCCTCTTCGTTGACGTGTCTGCCGACTTCGATTTCCACACAGAAAGCGAAGAGAGCGAGCAGCTGCCCTGCCCCCAGCAACACCATCATCCCCTGCGGCACAACAATACAGGTAAGGGGACGACCTGATAAGAGCATCATCAAGTTTACTAGTGTACTCTTGAGCGTTTGGTGAAAGGCTTTGGTATTTTGAACTTACTCACGAAACTCCATTTAAACTTTACGATGTTTATTACCCTTCGTTATCATAGTAAGTTCTGAACACATGGAATATCATCTGACACCTGGCTCTATGATGAGATGAATCGATTTTTGGATTCACAGGTTGATAACTTTATACTTTTACCTCAGTCAGTTGTCAAAGGTGTAACTAATAGTCATGGGTGTTGGGGGTGATCCGGGCGCTAACCAGTGACCCTTAAGGACGGGAGGCGAGCGCTGTATCCACTGGGCCTCCGTGACTGCATGGCCAATAGTGTTTGATGGAAGTCCATTTAGTTTCGAGACAAGGCACAAGTTCCCGTCTCAACTCCTTCAATATTTTTTTTTTGAAGGGGGGGGGGGGTTAGCAAATACATTCATTACAAAATAAATTTCTTGTTTTGAAATAGAAATACAGCCTGGCCAGGGAACCGAGAAAATAGCAAACTGGGTGCCAAATTAACACTGTAGTTACCCAGAGATTGACGATAGCTAGAGGCTCCTGGACGGTGATGGTGGAGGGGGAGCGGCGACACGTCCTGTAGAAAGGAATGTTATTGTCCAGCCAGTGTTCGTACAACCCAGACTCCACCAGTGCCTGGATCCTGCAACAATTGTTAAATACAATGAGACTCCGGTATATTAATGATCTATGGTTCTGTGAGAGAGAGAGAGAGAGAGAGAGAGAGAGAGAGAGAGAGAGAGAGAGAGAGAGAGAAATATCAACGTTTACTCACCTACGGTTAATAGCAGCTATGATAGGGTGTCCCTTCCGGCCCACCATATTTTGGGGCGTGTGAAAGACGTCCTCCTCAGAGATGTAGTAGTTACACTGACCTGAGACACACACACACACACGGAGATGTTAAGTGAGTGTCTCTTAGCAGTCTTTCTTAATACATGTCTCAACTAAATGTTCTACCAGTGCCGGATTCAGGACACTCAACTCTAAATATAGAAAAGACAATATAAAAAGCTAGCTTCTTCCGGCTTATTTTTATCATGTGACCGACTAATTAGTTTTTCCGTTGTTTTGTATAGTCGACACCCTTGGGAAGGGGGGGTATAAGCTAGGATACGCCGTTGCTTACTGAGAGATTTAATGTAAAAAAATAAATTTCCCAATTTCTAGGCCTCGGGTAATCACTGTTTGTTTAGGGTGTACTACTTTTATAACAGCGGCCTGTGGGTGTTACTAAAATTGAGTGGTGTGGGGCTCAGGGTTTCCACACGTCTGAGCCGCACAGGGCCCCCACGGGCTTACATCCCGTGCTGCCTGAGACATATTAATTACCTTTACCCCGTCACTACGGGGACACCACTTTTAATATCCTATTTAGTTAACACCAGATGGTTTTATTCAACACAGAAGGGGGCCCGTACACAAGAGGTTTGTAGACTATCTCCACTAATTGATTGTCTCTTGACCCTGCTACACACACACACACACACACACACACACACACACATTCACAAACATTATTCTGACACAAACAAACTTTGCCTTTTCCCTCCACACTATATAGGTTTGTCTGCATAAGCTGCTCAGTTCACTCTCATCAACGATTCTCATCTCATGGTTCTCACGAATTCCAAACAGAAGGCGTCTCCTCCTTTTCGTCTTGGAAAATTGTAAAGAAGCTTACCTAACCTCCAAAGCTTACGTCACTATCTTGAAGCTCACCTGTATAAGAGAAGCTCACCTACTGTATCTTGAAGCTCACCTGTCTTGTAGAAGAGATCAGAAATGATCTTAATGAGGCAGAGTTTGCAGGTGATAAGGGCGTGGTGTCCGTCGCTCACCATGGTCTCCGCAGCGCACTGGAGCTCTGAAGACACCACGTACTTGATCCTCCCCACGTCACCCAAAGCGGCCAGCGACCCAACGTCTCCTGTTTTCACTATCTGGATATAAACGGCGCGGTAATTAGAGAGATAACAAGAGAGAGAGTGAGAGAAAGAGAACACAAGAGAAAGAGAAAGCAAGAGCCAACGATAATATCAGGGGAGTTATTGTTTGTTTTTTCACCGTGTAGAGTTTTATTTCTTCGGCAATTTTAGGTAGATGGAGATGTCCTGCCTGTACTGTTACTGAACTCAGAGTGTGTGTATGTAATAGCACCACCAACCCTGAGAACATGAAGTAATGCCTCTACTTCGCCCGCTTCAGAGTAGACGTGATTTAATGTGAGTAATTAAATAGCCACACAACCATATCCATGTGACCGATTTAGCTTTGGTAAAGGAGGTTAAGTTTAATTCACAAGGTAACGAAAGTGGGCTCTAGTAGTGACGAGGATTCATCTTTACCTTGGTGTATAGCTATTTTGTTTATGTTTGATTGCTGGAGGTGTGGGGAGAGGGCGCTAAGCTTGGCGGGAGGAGAGTTAGCCTGTTTTGGTTAACTCTTAGAGCGTGTGTGGTGTTCAAGTTTTTTAAGCTGTCGTCACAACCTTAAGGTGTCTGTGAGTGTGTTGCAGATAACGGAATTTTCCCTAGGGTTGTTCAGAGTTGTTACCACTATTTATATCAGAATTAATAACGGTGAAGGAAAAATACTACGGGAAGAATTTATGATTTCGATCAACATTATAGGCTTGATACTGACCGATTATAGTGTATGGTGTTGCTGCTGCCGTTATAGTATAGTATAGTATAGTATAGTATAGTATAGTATAGTATAGTATAGTGTTGCTGCTGCCGGTACAACACGTCTACTTGCATTAAGTGCAGCATACAACTATTGAGAGACCACTGGAATTTTAATCGAATCAGACGAGCAAAACACAGCAGTCACACAAAATCCATCAGAACTTATTATTATTATTATTATTATTATTATTATTATTATTATTATTATTATTATTAATGCTATTGTTATCATTATCATTATCATTACTATTATTATTATTATTATTATTATTATTATTATTATTATTATTATTATTACTGAAAATGGCTCGAGTAACTAAGGCTGTATCGCCCCATGAGAACTTACGGAGAAGGTGTGAGTCATGATGGTCTTGGGTTCGATAATGATGTTTTGGCTGGAGTCGTCGGCCACGTCCCTCATCTTCTGGATGGGCTGAGGGATGTGACGCACCGCCAGGAGGGACACCAGGTTACCCGAGTAGCTCCACATGACCATCATAGCGACCACCAGCCATCCACCCACCAGCACCCTCTCCCGCCCTCCTACCATGTCCAACCTCGCGTCTGTGGAGAGTAGTGTGCACCATCCTTCCTCCAGCACCCTAACCTAATCTAAACCTAACCATACCTTTCATCTAACCTAACCCACAATAATCTCTCTTAAACTAATCTGATCCTACGCTGACTTAACCAAACTAGACCTAATCTGACCCTAACCTAACTCAACCGTAACCTAACCTCACTTGTAATTACTTAATCTGACTTTAACAAACAATGCACATAGATAGTCCAGGTATACAAACAATGGTAAACAGTAAGCCGAATTATTAAGTATTTGTCCATAAATTTATCGCAGTTAAAGATGTAAGAGAAAAGATCACCTGAAGATTAGCTCCCCCAGGTTACATCACCTGATGATTAACACTACCTAGGGGGGTAGGTTAGGTTAGGTTAATTAAGCGTTAGGGTGGTTAATCTTAAGGTGAAGTAAGTTGGGGGAGTGGCTATACTTTTGAGGTGATCCAAGAGGAAAACATTGTGCTCATACTCTGCTGAAGAAGGACTCTGAGGTACTGGAAGAGGAGGTGGGTAGACCGGGTGAGGTGGCCAGAGCCCACAGGTTTGGTACCCATCAACACTATCGCCAACCAGGCCACCACCAGTGCTGCCAACAGTGCCGCCCACACCAGGGGTTGCAGGGGAAACACAAAGCCCCACGGATTGATCTCCGGACGACCCTTGCCGTTCAGCATACTTGCATAGTCGTGAGTGATGTGGTGAAGGTAGTCCACAGCCTGGTATCTCTCCCAGGTTGTGGCGTAGGGAGCCAGGGCGATCATCGCCTCCTGCACCGAATAATGAGGTTTAAACGTTACCACCACATAAAAAAAAATATATATTAATTTTTACCGCTAGACAGCAGTAAGGAAGGGAGAGTTGGCAGAGGATATACTGTAGTGTGTACTAAACGTGCAGGCGAGGCTGAGTCAGCTCCCAAGCAAAACATTAAGAAGGAACAAGGCGTGTTAGGTTATGCCCAGTCCCCGAGACGCTAACATATAGGACTAGACAATCCCTCTCACTTGGTCGCCCTAAACACACCGACTTTCTGTTCAGAGCCAGACCTGCAACACGTAAAATTATTCTGGCTTTCACTATGGACGTAAAAATATGCAGTTTATCTTGTGTTAATATTAAGATAATGTACTCGTTTGTGTACTAGTATTAGGTAAATGTATTCACATCTGATGTCAATGAACTTTCAGTTTCCTCTTATAATTTGATTAAATTATTCGTATATGCCAGATTTGACCGAAATAAACTGTATCGATAATTGGGGTATTTCTGAAGGCTGTTGAGGCTCAGTCCACCTTGTGAGCTATCATGTTATTCGTTATAATTTCCAGTCAAATTGGTGTCACACATTTCTCTACCCGTTTCTTGTCCTGCGCAGTTAATGTGTGGAACTGTCTACCCATCAGTGTAGTTCCCCAGAGACACATTAGAATAGAAGACAGACGCATTTTAACTCTAACTTTAACTTCTTAAATTTTCGGTCTTTATACATATTGTCTGAGCCATGAGTATAGTGCTTGTTGTTTACATACTGAACTTTTGTGTAATGACAGGTGGAAGAAAGTTTACCGTTGGAATACAAATATAAATACAGATTAAAGATACAGTACAGTTACAGTTAATACAACATGGTGACTGACTGTAGATTGGACTTCCAGACTTGACATCTGTGTTAGTGTCAATCTTTCCAGTCGTCCATTAATATGTTTGCCTCAACCTGTTTTATATTCTTCATTTATAAACCAATCGCCCTTGACATTGGTTTAATTTGATAGCATGTACTATTAAATTAGGTTTAATCATTCCTTACCCTCCTGATAGGTCCTGCAGTTAACAGCTGAACACCTTATACTCCTGATAGGTCCTGTAGTTAACAGCTGAACACCTTATACTCCTGATAGATCCTGCAGTTAACAGCTGAACACCTTATACCCCTGATAGGTCCTGCAGTTAACAGCTGAACACCTTATACTCCTGATAGGTCCTGTAGTTAACAGCTGAACACCTTATACTCCTGATAGATCCTGCAGTTAACAGCTGAACACCTTATACTCCTGATAGGTCCTGTAGTTAACAGCTGAACACCTTATACTCCTGATAGATCCTGCAGTTAACAGCTGAACACCTTATACTCCTGATAGGTCCTGCAGTTAACAGCTGAACACCTTATACTCCTGATAGGTCCTGCAGTTAACAGCTGAACACCTTATACTCCTGATAGGTCTTGTAGTTAACAGCTGAACACCTTACTCCCCTGATAGATCCTGCAGTTAACAGCTGAACACCTTATACTCTGATAGGTCCTTGGTTAACAGCTGAACACCTTATACTCTGATAGATCCTGCAGTTAACAGCTGAACTTACTCTCCTGATAGGTCCTGTAGTTAACAGCTGAACACATACTCTCCTGATAGATCCTGCAGTTAACAGCTGAACACCTTATACTCCTGATAGGTCCTGCAGTTAACAGCTGAACACCTTATACTCCTGATAGGTCCTGTAGTTAACAGTTGAACACCTTATACTCCTGATAGGTCCTGTAGTTAACAGCTGAACACCTTATACTCCTGATAGGTCCTGTAGTTAACAGCTGAACACCTTATACTCCTGATAGGTCCTGTAGTTAACAGCTGAACACCTTATACTCCTGATAGGTTCTATAGTTAAAGTGTGTGTTAAGATAATTACCTTCCTGGTCACCTGTCCAATCATACCGGACCAGGAACTGTTGGGCGTAGCTGTGCCGAAGGTGCCATCAGGGGGCGTCACCACCCTGTACCTGGTGATTAAGACGGTGACTTTTATTACTGTTTGTACTGGTGTGTGTGTGTGTGTGTGTGTGTGTGTGTGTGTGTGTGTGTGTGTGTGTGTGTGTCTTAAACAGGGTAAATTTTGGTCTTCTATGAGGGAAATTTTATACAGTCTAACACCCAATGTGAAAGGGGAAAAATCATCCGACCATTTCCCCAAAATGTGTTATGGGTCAACATTATAACATCTCCTGTAGGAGTTTGTATCAGTTGGGAGTTTGTAACGTTGCTTGAGGTGTGATGTTAGCGACTGTCCCGGCCGGCTGAAGCATACAAGTTTATGTCCTGATTTGGTTCGTGTGTCTGTCCTGTTTAGTGAAGGAAAACGAGTAATTTTTTGTGTGTTTCTTTTGTTCCAATTGGAAGAGGGAAATGTTTTTAGAGGGCGATTGGAAAAGGTGGAAATTGGATGGAAAATTGGGTGGAAAAGGGGGAATTTGGGTGGAAAGAATTGGATGAGAAAGGGGGAAATAGGCTGAAAAAGGGGGAAATGGGTGGAATATGTGGAAAGGGGGGGAATTGGGTGAAAAAGGGAGAGAATTAGATGAAAAGCATAAAAAACCCTGATCTATGCAGTTCACTTCCTCTCCACCACGCATTTCTACAGCCCTTCCTCTACAGTTCAGCAACATACAGAGGACTCTTTTCCATCACTAACACACACTTAACCGATCTACTACACAAGACTACCCGGAGCTCTAAGAAGGTCAACTACTGAGAATAAACCGTAGATTAACACGTCAGTTATATTCTAAGGACACAGATACACGTACAAGCAATTTATAGTTCGGGTTTTTGTACGTATTACCTGTTCAAAAAGTACCCAGCCCTTGATCCCAGCATACCAAAACTCTCTTCACCCTTTTGTCTATTTTACCTTTTGTCTATTTTTCACCCTTTGGTCTATTTTTCACCCTTTTGTCTATCGTTCATCCTTTTTCTCTATCGTTCACCCTTCTGCCTTCATAGAATTTTTTTATAATGTACGGGAGTGGAGTGGGAAGAGGGTGAGAGGATTTATAATGGAATGGGAAGAGGGTGAGAGGGATGTTAGTATGGAGGTGTGGGTGAGGAGAAGTTACCATTGAGGACAGTGTCTGACGTTGTAGACAGAGAACAAAAGTACTCTTATACCCTGTGCTTGGGGTAACCACTCAGAAAGAACATAAGACAAACCATCCTACTCACGTAAAATTAAGTGAGGTAGCGACTGTGTCCATGAGTTGAGCGAGGGGTCCTGTGATAGAGTAAGTGCCGTCTTGGTGGTTTATCAAGGTGACGTGAGGAGGACGGTGGACTGTGGTCACTGTCATCAGGGCCCCCTCCTTGAACCTATAATGGGGATGCAAACACTCTTCTTGTTACTGTTTCTCTCTACTCCTATTTTTATTTTTTAGTTTATTATCCCTATTTATATCTGTTTCTCTACCTATTGTTTATTCGTTCTGTCTACCTGCCTGTTAGTCCAATATTTTATCCATGTTTGAAAGGCGAGCGATTTGACTGGGAAGGTTCATGAACGTATTTTTCTCTTCCTGCCATACATCACTCCCCGTTTGTGATTTCTTCGGACAGGAGAAACTATAGTAGTTAGGTAGATAGATAAGAAGCGTGTTAGGTGACGGAGTAGTGCTAAGTCCTGCGAGAAATGTGTGACTTGGGGATATTCTTATGACCTGGTGGTGATGTGTTACCTGAAGGTGGTGGGGTTGTCACGTACATCACGGAGCACCTCCGGGTCCTCCATTACCTCCTCCAGTAGCCTCACCATCAGTACGCTTCCCTCAGTCGTTTGCGGGAGATACACGCACCGCGTAGTGAAACACACTGTATCTGAGACTGTAAACAACACTCATGTAGGCAGGTGTGAGAGTAAAAAGGATGACACACACACACACCCACACACACCCACACACCCACACACACCACCCACACCCACCCACACACCACACACCCACACTTTAGCCAATCTGTCGATTGGCCTTAAAGTGCGATTGACTCACGTATTAGGTAAAACTTTTTATTATTATCTTTGTAACTTACTGGATGTTAGTGCATACGAGGCAACATTTACACCATTTCATTTAATATGTCCTTTGTTAGTGCACCAAACTTAGGTAAGTTAGGTTAGTTGCTGCACGTAAGCTAAAAAATTCGAAAAAATCAGAAATAAATTAAAATTATCGCTCTCATGCAGAAGTGGAAGAGTGTGCTTAAAAACAAAGCTCTTGGTCACTAAAATTGAAAAATTACGCCGTGTATATTAATAAGCGTACGAGGCCGTCCTGGACAATAACTCGTGAATGAAATTTATACTTTGTGATTTTGTAGAACATCTCCAGTTTCTATGTTATTAAAAACATAACCTCCCAGAGTGTTATGTTAAGCTTCACTCTCCCACCAAGTACTGTACCTCTACCGTATACGAGTGGGTGGTGCCTCGACCCTGCTTGGTGTACCCTTCGTTGTCCCCTGAAGCTTCCCGCTAAGTGGATGGCGGCGGTCGCCCCCCACTGTTTATATAGCTGTGCGTGGATGAGAAGCATGGCTGGTGAGGGAGGACCTGAGACGCAAAGAAGGAGCTCTGACATGCGCAAGGAAGGAGACTTGACATGCGCAGTTTGCCTCAGACATTATCTCTCCGCCTCCCAGAACACAGTACAGTACTTTAAATTTGTCTGAGAATTTTAAACAATAGACTGACACGTAGAGAATTTTGTTGTAATTAGTAAGAGCATTATTAATTATTATTATTATTATTATTATTATTATTATTATTATTATTATTATTATTATTATTATTATTATTTATTATTATTATTATTATTATTATTATTATTATTATTATTATTATTATTATTATTATTATTGGTGGTGCTCTTGATATTATTACTATTATCAATTTTATTATAATTATAATTGTTCTTGTTCTTCGTCTTATACTAAATCACATAAAGACCCAAACTTATACCTGACACTGATAAAAACCCACACTTATACTGACACACAAAGACCCACACTTAAACCTGACACACACAAAGATCCACACTTATACCTGACACATAAAGATCCACACTTATACTGACACACATAAAGATCCACACTTATACTGACACACAAGACCCACACTTATACTGACACACAAAAGATCCACACTTATACCTGACACACACAAAGATCCACACTTATACCTGACACACACAAAGATCCACACTTATACTGACACACACAAAGATCCACACTTATACTGACACACGCAAAGACCCACACTTATACTGACACACATAAAGACCCACTTATACTGACACACAAGATCCACACTTATACTGACACACAAAGATCCACACTTATACTGACACACATAAAGATCCACACTTATACTGACACACATAAAGATCCACACTATACTGACACACATAAAGATCCACACTATACTGACACAAATAAAGATCCACACTTATACTGACACAACAAAGATCCACACTTATACTGACACACAAAGATCCACACTTAAACCTGACACACAAAGATCCACTTATACGTGACACACATAAAGACCCACACTTATACTGACACATAAAGACCCACACTTATACTGACACACACAAAGATCCACACTTAAACCTGACACACACAAAGATCCACACTTATACTGACACAATAAAGATCCACACTTATACTGACACACACAAAGATCCACACTTAAACCTGACACACACAAAGATCCACACTTATACTGACACGCAAAGATCCACACTTAAACCTGACACACATAAAGATCCACACTTATACTGACACACATAAAGATCCACACTTATACTGACACACACAAAGATCCACACTTAAACCTGACACACACAAAGATCCACACTTATACTGACACACACAAAGATCCACACTTATACTGACACACACAAAGATCCACACTTATACTGACACACATAAAGATCCACACTTATACTGACACACATAAAGACCCACACTTATACTGACACACACAAAGATCCACACTTAAACCTGACACACACAAAGATCCACACTTATACTGACACACATAAAGATCCACACTTATACTGACACACACAAAGATCCACACTTATACTGACACACACAAAGATCCACACTTACACTGACACACATAAAGACCCACACTTATACTGACACACACAAAGATCCACACTTAAACCTGACACACACAAAGATCCACACTTATACTGACACACATAAAGACCCACACTTATACTGACACACACAAAGATCCACACTTAAACCTGACACACACAAAGATCCACACTTACTGACACACATAAAGATCCACACTTATACTGACACACACAAAGATCCACACTTATACACACACACAAAGATCCACACTTATACTGACACACATAAAGACCCACACTTATACTGACACACACAAAGATCCACACTTATACTGACACACACAGATCCACACTTATACTGACACACAAGATCCACACTTATACTGACACACATAAAGATCCACACTATACACACAAAGATCCACACTTATACTGACACACACAAAGATCCACACTTATACTGACACACATAAAGATCCACACTTATACTGACACACACAAAGATCCACACTTATACTGACACACACAAAGATCCACACTTATACTGACACACACAAAGATCCACACTTATACTGACACACACAAAGATCCACACTTATACTGACACACACAAAGATCCACCTTATACTGACACACACAAAGATCCACACTTATACCTGACACACACAAAGATCCACACTTATACTGACACACAAAGATCCACACTTATACTGACACACATAAAGACCCACACTTATACTGACACAAAGATCCACACTTATACTGACACACATAAAGACCCACACTTATACTGACACACACAAAGATCCACACTTATACTGACACAAATAAAGACCACACTTATACTGACACACACAAAGATCCACACTTATACCTGACACACACAAAGACCCACACTTATACTGACACACACAAAGATCCACACTTATACTGACACACACAAAGATCCACACTTAAACCTGACACACACAGAGATCCACACTTATACTGACACACATAAAGACCCACACTTATACTGACACACACAAAGATCCACACTTATACCTGACACACATAAAGATCCACACTTATACTGACACACATAAAGACCCACACTTATACTGACACACATAAAGATCCACACTTATACTGACACACACAAAGATCCACACTTATACCTGACACACAAAAAGATCCACACTTATACTGACACACACAAAGATCCACACTACACTGACACACACAAAGATCCACACTTATACTGACACACAAAAGATCCACACTTAAACCTGAACACACACAAAGATCCACACTTATACTGACACACAAAAAGATCCACACTATACTGACACACACAAAGATCCACACTTACACTGACACACACAAAGATCCACACTTATACTGACACACATAAAGATCCACACTTAAACCTGACACACACAAAGATCCACACTTATCTGACACACTAAAGATCCACACTTACTGACACACACAAAGATCCACACTTATACCTGACACACACAAAGATCCACACTTATACTGACACACACAAAGATCCACACTCTTGACACATAAAGATCCACACTTATACTGACACACACAAAGATCCACACTTACACTGACACACACAAAGATCCACACTTATACTGACACATAAAGATCCACACTTATACTGACACACAGCAAAGACCCACACTTATACCTGACACACACAAAGATCCACACTTATACTGACACACACAAAGACCCACACTTATACTGACACACACAAAGATCCACACTTATACTGACACACGCAAAGACCCACACTTATACTGACACACGCAAAGACCCACACTTATACTGACACACGCAAAGACCCACACTTATACTGCACACGCAAAGACCCACACATATACCTGATACACATAAAGATCCACACTTATACTGACACACACAAAAAGACCCACACTTATACTGACACACATAAAGATCCACACTTATACTGACACACGCAAAGACCCACACTTATACCTGACACACACAAAGACCCACACTTATACTGACACACGCAAAGACCCACACTTATACTGGCACACGCAAAGACCCACACTTATACCTGACACACGCAAAGACCCACACTTATACTTGACACACGCAAAGACCCACACTTATACCTGACACACACAAAGATCCACACTTATACTGACACACGCAAAGACCCACACTTATACTGGCACACACAAAGATCCACACTTATACTGACACACGCAAAGACCCACACTTATACTGACACACGCAAAGACCCACACTTATACTGACACACGCAAAGACCCACACTTATACCTGATACACATAAAGATCCACACTTATACCTGACACACACATAAAGACCCACACTTATACTGACACACATAAAGACCCACACTTATACTGAACAACAAAGACCTACAGTTATACCTGACACACAAAGACCTACACTTATACTGACGCACATAAAGACCCACACTTATACCTGACACATAAAGACCCACACTTATACTGACACACATAAATACCCACACTTATACCTGACACATAAAGACCCACACTTATACTGACACACATAAATACCACATTTATACCTGACACACAAAGACCTACACTTATACCTGACACATAAAGACCCACACTTATACTGACACACATAAATACCCACACTATACCTGACACATAAAGACCCACACTTATACCTGACACATAAAGATCCACACTTATACTGACGCACATAAAGACTCCACACTTATACCTGACACATAAGACCCACACTTATACTGACACACATAAAGACCCACACTTATACTGACACACGCAAAGACCACAGTTATACCTGACACACAAAGACCTACACTTATACGACGCACATAAAGACCCACATTTATACCTGACACATAAAGACCCATTAATTTATACTGACACACATAAATACTCAATACTTATACCTGACACACAAAGACCTACACTTATACTGACACACACAAAGACCTACACTTATACTGACACACAAAGATCCATATTTATACCAATAAAACCACATTATTGACACACACAAAGACCTACACTTATACTGACACACATACAAACTTATACTGACACACACAAAGACCCTACACTTATACTGACACACAAAGACCCACACTTATACTCTGACACACATAAAGACCCATACTTATACCTCACACACATAAAGACCCACACTTATACTGACACACATAAATACCCACACTTATACCTGACACACAAAGACCTACACTTATACTGACACACACAAAGACCTACACTTATACTGACACACATAAAGACCCACACTTATACCTGACACACATAAAGACCCATACTTATACCTCACACACATAAAGACCCACACTTATACCTGACACACACAAAGACTCACACTTATACATGACACACATAAAGACCCACACTTATACCTGACACCCCAATTCCCTGGTCCGAGTGACGTGTACTAAGTGGTCGACACACAACAATATGACACACTCACTAACTTCACCTGACACTGTGGAAGGAAGTTGTCACGGGCTTCTTTGGATGTTGTCTGATTGTTTGTCTGTAAAGGAGAACTTCGTCTGCATGAGTGTTGTCTCGTAGTGTCTGTATGGTGGTGTTGATGTCTTGTAGTGTCTGTATGGTGGTGTTGATGTCTTGTAGTGTCTGTATGGTGGTGTTGATGTCTTGTAGTGCCTGTATGGTGGTGCTGATGTCTTGTAGTGTCTGTATGGTGGTGTTGATGTCTTGTAGTGTCTGTATGGTGGTGTTGATGTCTTGTAGTGTCTGTATGGTGGTGTTGATGTCTCGTGAGTGTCTGTATGGTGGTGCTGATGTCTTGTAGTGTCTGTATGGTGGTGTTGATGTCTTGTAGTGTCTGTATGGTGGTGCTGATGTTTTGTAGTGTCTGTATGGTGGTGCTGATGTCTGGTAGTGTCTGTATGGTGGTGCTGATGTCTTGTAGTGTCTGTATGGTGGTGTTGATGTCTCGTAGTGTCTGTATGGTGGTGCTGATGTCTTGTAGTGTCTGTATGGGGGGGTGGATGTCTTGTAGTGTCTGTATGGTGGTGTTGATGTCTTGTAGTTTCTGTATGGTGGTGCTGATGTCTTGTAGTGTCTGTATGTTGGTGCTGATGTCTTGTAGTGTCTGTATGGTGGTGCTGATGTCTTGTAGTGTCTGTATGGTGGTGCTGATGTCTTGTAGTGTCTGTATGGTGGTGCTGATGTCTTGTAGTGTCTGTATGTGTTGATGTCTTGTAGTGTCTGTATGGTGGTGCTGATGTCTTGTAGTGTCTGTATGGTGGTGCTGATGTCTTGTAGTGTCTGTATGGTGGTGCTGATGTCTTGTAGTGTCTGTATGGTGGTGCTGATGTCTTGTAGTGTCTGTATGGTGGTGCTGATGTCTGGTAGTGTCTGTATGGTGGTGCTGATGTCTTGTAGTGTCTGTTTGGTGGTGCTGATGTCTTGTAGTGTCTGTATGTGCTGATGTCTTGTAGTGTCTGTATGGTGGTGCTGATGTCTTGTAGTGTCATGGTGGTGCTGATGTCTTGTAGTGTCTGTATGGTGGTGCTGATGTCTTGTAGTGTCTGTTTGGGGTGCTGATGTCTTGTAGTGTCTGTATGGTGGTGCTGATGTCTTGTAGTGTCTGTATGGTGGTGCTGATGTTTGTAGTGTCTGTATGGTGGTGCTGATGTTTTGTAGTGTCTGTATGGTGGTGTTGATGCCTTGTAGTGTCTGTATGGTGGTGCTGATGTTTTGTGGTGTCTGTATGGTGGTGCTGATGTCTTGTAGTGTCTGTATGGTGGTGCTGATGTCTTGTAGTGTCTGTATGGTGGTGCTGATGTCTGGTAGTGTCTGTATGGTGGTGCTGATGTCTGGTAGTGTCTGTATGGTGGTGCTGATGTCTTGTAGTGTCTGTATGGTGGTGCTGATGTCTTGTAGTGTCTGTATGGTGGTGCTGATGTCTTGTAGTGTCTGTATGGTGGTGCTGATGTCTTGTAGTGTCTGTATGGTGGTGCTGATGTCTTGTAGTGTCTGTATGGTGGTGCTGATGTCTTGTAGTGTCTGTATGGTGGTGCTGATGTCTTGTAGTGTCTGTATGGTGGTGCTGATGTCTTGTAGTGTCTGTATGGTGGTGCTGATGTCTTGTAGTGTCTGTATGGTGGTGCTGATGTCTGGTAGTGTCTGTATGGTGGTGCTGATGTCTGTAGTGTCTGTATGGTGGTGCTGATGTCTTGTAGTGTCTGTATGGTGGTGCTGATGTCTGTGTCTTTGTCTTGTAGTGTCTGTATGGTGGTGTTGATGTCTTGTAGTGTCTGTATGGTGGTGTTGATGTCTTGTAGTGTCTGTATGGTGGTGTTGATGTCTTGTAGTGTCTGTATGGTGGTGCTGATGTTTTGTAGTGTCTGTATGGTGGTGCTGATGTCTTGTAGTGTCTGTATGGTGGTGCTGATGTCTTGTAGTGTCTGTATGGTGGTGCTGATGTCTGGTAGTGTCTGTATGGTGGTGCTGATGTCTGGTAGTGTCTGTATGGTGGTGCTGATGTCTTGTAGTGTCTGTATGGTGGTGCTGATGTCTTATAGTGTCTGTATTGTGGATTGATGTCTTGTAGTGTCTGTATGGTGGTGTTGATGTCTTGTAGTGTCTGTATGGTGGTGTTGTTGTCTTATAGTGTCTATATGGTGGTGCTCATGTCTGACATTGTGTTAGTGAGTGATCACCTGGGATGGTGGTAGTTGTTGTTAATTAACAGAACATCTGCGGTAGTTTCTGTGCTTGCGGTCAGTAGTTACTGACTCAACACTTTCATTAATATTAATTTTCTCAATTACAGTTAATTAGAGTGTCATGTTCACCTGTTCAGAATTAATACTTGATAATGTTGGTTAAACACAGGCAATTTATTGTACTAATTAACCTGAGATTGGAAATTCAAGATTGATAAACTTGAGAGATGTGAATGTATTCATGACTTAATTAGACCGGCTAATTACATTACTGATATTGTTCTAGACACCGCCAGTCGCAGTAATCTTCCTCAACAAGCACCTGTATGTGTTGTATAAATATCTACTATTTGTCATCTTGTTCTCAGGTGTCGCCAATTAATTTGAACTTAAGGATAAACCCCGAGGTGAGGCTCTATATACAGTATATATATCATGTAAATCCACAATAAAACGTGGATAAGATAAATCTTGATAAAATCACACGGGAAAATGGAAACAACGGAGCACCTTAGCTTTCGTCTTTATTCAAGACATCTTCAGAGGCAACAGTTGCCTCTGAAGATGTCTTGAATAAAGACGAAAGCTAAGGTGCTCCGTTGTTTCCATTTTCCCGTGTGATTTTATCAAGTATATATATATATATATATATATATATATATATATATATATATATATATATATATATATATATATATATATATATATATATATATGCAAGTAAATCACTGTAGGTGCGCGTGATCTAGGTATATGCTGATAACCACAAGGAAAGAAGAAAACACGATAAGCGAGATAGATACATTTATTTTACCAAGTCCAATAACTAGTGGTCAGATCTACTTCACTTAAGACTTGTTCGATTCTTGAGTGAGGACAATGTGCAGACAGTGAGATGCTTTCAGCACTTAGTACTTAGTGGCCACCCACTAGAGGCACTGTTCTTGAGTCCACAGCTTGGGCTGATAAACCACTCCATCGGTCTACCAGCCTCTGTGTGAAGTATTTCCTTATGTTCGTTCTGCATGATAACTTGGCGAGCTGGTAGTTGTGTCCTCTCGTGTTGGTAGTGCGTGACGTCACAAACACAACAGATTGAGAGATGTAACTGGAGGAAACATCTGAGAAAATTTAAGTGCAGTAAGGGAATAATATTATTTGTTTGATTAAAGTAAAGAAAAAGAGAGCAAACAGGAGACCAAAAATGAACTGGATGAATGGAGTAACGGAATGTAACTTACAGCCAGAAGATAGTTGTGAACAAGTAGGAACACGTGGATATGACTACTGTACATGAGTAATGTCCTTTGTTCACTCTAGGTCTCTTAACGCGCCCATTTTTTGTATTACTGGTGGGCCGCGAGTACTGATGCAGCCATATTACTGACCACAGGTACGGTACATAAGTCAGTAAGGCAGGTGGTACAAGAGGAAAAGGTTGTGTGGAAAGGTGAGACCATTCTGAAGGTACAGTCACCCAAAAAAGTCCTGTCACGAACCACGATTCAGACTCGTGAACCCGAAGCAGTAGACACTGATACAGTATTCTGTCCATAAATACTTCGGATTCAAGAGTCTGAATCTCGAGGTTCATGGTTCGCGACAGGACTTTTTTGGGTGACTGTACATCTCCCATTATGGTGCACCTCACATGAATATTTTCTTTCATTCCTTGGTGATATACCGAGTTGTCTTATAGCTCCAATATATATTATTAAGAGAGCGAATGCTATGTTGCAATTAAAAGAATAATCTCCTCTCCTCAGGTCCGCTATTGGTAATGAAGATCAAAATTACTCTCTAAGCTTCGAATATTAAATATCATTAGTGTATCTAGATTCTTAGCCAGTCAAAGAAAGGGTCAACACAAGCGTCTGGGTAGTCGCCTCACACTCCCTGTCCACTGGTTAGCATGTGTCTTGGGTTAAACACTATAGGTTGTCTTGGTCAGGGAGTATCACACAACACACTCGATTTATTTGTGACTGAATTTATAAGTTATTAGATAAATTCTTTGTTAATTTGTGATTTTTAGTGTTTATTAAATAACTTATCGATCAAGTCTTTTAGTATCTTAATATTACATACATCATCGATTAATTTGTGACTTAGAGAGTTTTAGTATTAACTTATCGTTGTATTTGTGGTTTAGAAAATTTAAATCTCATTATATCTCGTAAGAAAGAAGAGGAGGAATTAATACAATCTTCCTTGATGTCTATATCTTATACAGTTCATATATTAAAGATGTGACATAACAGTATTTTATATTCAAATACATCTGCTTGTTGATATAGCCGTACCATATGAGAGTGTCGGATACCTGAGACTCCTAGGTCCTTATGTTTCTTTATTTATTACTTTATATATTTAAGTGTATCCGGTACGTGTTTAATGTACGTGGGTTAGTGTTTTATGAAGGTTCGTGTTTTTTGTTTTATTTGCATGGGTTAGTGTACGTGTTTTATGTAGAGGATAATTTTAAAACTATTTTAGGATGAAGAGTAATGAGTTAACCTTTTGATGACGATGGGTTAAAACCTTTTGATGTTGGGTTTAAACCTTTTGATGACGATGGCTAAACCCTCTGTGGATTTTGGTTTAACGGGGTAATAATTGAATAGTTTTAGGGACGATAGTTTATTTAATTAAAAAGTAATAGTTAAAAATTTTGAGGATGATAAATTTACACTATCGTCCTCAAGGGGTTTAACTCACTATCGTTTTGTTTACGTTTTGACACATCTATTATCTTGTTTGATCCAGAAACACACACACACACACACACACACACACACACACACACACACACACACACACACACACACACTGAGTAACTAAAGAAATGGATGAAAGTTACTTTGATATTTTTATTATTATTTATCTATGCATGTGTTTCATCTTTCATATTGGACAGGGAAACCAAAAAAAAAAAGCAGAAATCTAAATATAACAAAAACTACGCCAAAATGAGACCATTTTTCTCAAGTTCTTTACACCTGTATTGGAAGGTATTTTAGTACACCTGTTTAGAAATTTGTTACGCTCATAATTGATTTATTTACAAAGGAATACGAATACAAGTGAAGACAGATTTATATACAGGGTGTACCACATAAAATCCAACCCAAACAGCAATCATAAATTACAAATACGAAACCAGAAGACATATCCTCCCCTAGTTCCGTGTAATGGACTCGCCTAACCTTTTCCATGATAGTAATTAAAAACAAAACAAAAACATTATAGGTTCGACTTCAGTTGAGTTATAGCAGTAAGGGGGTGAGAGAATGGTGTAACTACAGGTTATCCTGAGAGTTAATTGCCATATAGAACAACAATACACCGGATGGTAAACAACAAAAAATCGAGATACAGGAAATGTTTGTGAATGGTAACAAGTTTGGGTTGCCTCTTAAATGGTGCACCCTGTTGATGTGTTGTGTAAATTACTTCTTGGCGTGAAGTCCTTTGGGAGTTTACGCATGTGGCAAAAACACGAGACAGTTGTTGTTTTGAGGGTATACAAGCATCTTATTTGTAGTTGAAGAATAGACTCCAGTAGACAGCACTAAATATGACAACTGACACAGGAACGACGTAAAGACGGAGGATTATGAGAACACGATCTGGTAGACTACTCGGTGTTGTGATCTTGGCTCGAGTGAATGGGTTGACCTTGATGATGTGGTCCCGAGTCTCTAGATGTTCGACGACGACGTGGGAGATAATGACGAAGAACAGGAGGAAGATGCAGAAGAAGAACCAGACGTCGATCATTTTGATGTAAGCTGTGGGTGGGAGGGCGTCTGAGGTGTTGTTGAAGAGTGTGTACAGCACCAGCAGTGTTGTTAAACTGACGATCAGCCTCACCTGTGGGACACGTTCATATACTATAACACAATACCATCTGAACAACAGGATGTTTACGTTTAGTTTCACTGTTGATGGGAAAAGACAATGAAGTATCGATTTTTTTTAATGAATTGTAATATTAAGCAAAGTTTACTGGTGGGAGGTTCACCTGGTTTCGAATTAATTTACTTTGTGTTTGAAATGTATGTGAAGTTTTTTTTTTTTAATCTATCTTAATGATGGAAAGTCATAAGCACACGACACATACAGATCTTAATAAGGAATTATACCGTCGAGCAATTCAATATAGATCTATCAAACTAATATAACCTTATGTGTTAGTTTACCTGAAGGAGAGAGACCTTAACGAAGAGGGTGGAGTAACCGATGACCATGAGCATTGCGGTGGGGAGGTACACGCTCATCACGATCACAGTCCATCGTCTGGCCAGCTCAAACTCAACCTGCATAACATTGGGCAACTTTCACAGTGTTCCACAATCACTTCCCGAGAGACAAAGAGTATATGTTAAAGTCAATCCAACATCCCATAAAGGCTAATTACTTTTAGACCTTATCGATGATAATTATCTGCAGTGCGAGAATCTTGTGTTTTGTTTATATGAGCCAAGGAAAATACGATAGCCAGGGGTAGTTAGGCATACCATGAGGACACTGTACTTGGTGGCGTTGCTGCCTCGGTGTGTGGCTGTGGCGCGGTAGTTGACGACCGTGTAGGAGGGTAGTTGTTTGTCCTCCAGGTACACGACACTCGCCTTCTCCGTCACAAAACTCACCACCTCCTGCCTGAGTGAAGACAACTGCACGAGGACGGAACATCGCTGGGTATCGAACGGGTAGTAGAACACGTTGAAAGTGCACGCGAAACTTCCGCTGCAAGATGAGTTTTATTTATATTAATATTTGTCAACCATGTCGTCAACCGCTTCTTGTCCTATCAGCGAAGTTAAGCAACGTTGAGTCTGGTTAGTACTTGGATAAGTGACCGCCTGGCCCTAAGAACAGATGCTGCTGGCATAATGCCTCTACTTGAAACAAGCTTTGTCAGCTGTCCTTGGTCAAATTGACTGAATGTCATTTATTATGGTTGTGGAGAGTCTAACGCCCGGAGTTTTAATCATCAACCACCGTTGACAGGGGTCGTCATGTCGACAACCATAGTTTTAAACCTGAAGGGCCCCGCACTGCAGCGCTCGACGGAGAGGGGCGGCCGAAAAACGAACTAATAAGATGGGTTGTAGTGGACGTCTCCCCTACAACCCCCTACAACTGCCTACAACTGCGTAGCGGCGTCACCACCTGCCACCACATTCCAACGTGCCGTTGCCTAGCAACCAAGCGAGAGCTGTCCCCAGATGTTACCTTATCTTAGCAACGGAACTAGTCACCGGCTACTTCTCGGGTTTTCCCAACATGACTCATAGAGGACTGGCGGCTGCTGCTGGGTGTATATAAGCTCTGTCTCTCCATTGAGATTCAGTCTGACCATTCTTCTTGAACAAGCAACACCTCCTCCTCCGTCGCTGCCTGGCTCCCTTCTCTTCTCCTCGCTTGCCTGGCGGCCCTCGCTCCCGCCAGCGAGCATGGCGACCCACCAGCTGTTCTTCTCTGAGCTTCCTCACCAACCAACTCTCATTCTGCCCATCTTCCTGAACACGCAACACCTCCTCCAGCAAGCTCCTAGCTGTCCAGCATTCATTCAACCAGGAGGCCAGCAACAGGCAACATCTTCTCTAACGAAGCTCCTGCACATCTACCTCCTTCAACAAGCTACTCACCGAACGTCTCTACTGACCAGCTCCTCACCACACGGCACCTCCAGCACCAGACTGTTTATCATATAACTTATATTATACAAGAAAACCACATTAGAGTTTCCTTACATCCTGAGTGCTAGACAACATTAATATTTCGATACCCCTACAGGGTATTTGAAAATGTGGCAAGTAGCTGATCTTCGTTACCCTCTTCGTTATTGTTTTGTTTGTTTTATTGGATATTTAAGTAAATGGTATTAATGAACAAAGAAAATCATAATGGTAATTTTATAAACCTGTGTTTTTTTTTTAATTTTTTTACGGTCAATATTATAAAATTTTCAAGAGACTTGTGCCAAGTGCAAGCTCGTCCAGTTGCTGGTGTCATCTCATCTTGTAAACTTTGTTAGGCAATCAATGCAATAATCATACCATACCCCGTGCAGGCGGCAGGAATTGAAGGCTAACCCCATTACCTTTGTTATTTAATGTTTGAGTTACCTGTGTAACAACCAGTAAAAAACTGCGAACTTCTAATCAGAATGAGGAGTTTGCTTGTCTCAGAAGTGTAGTCATTTGCACCCTATTTAACGTAACCTACTTAACAACAATTGTTGAGCTTACTTTATTTTAAGATGCTCCCAGATCTTCATCTTTCTAGTTCAGATCGCTGAGGTCTATATCCCTCGGCGTTGAACTTGGATGTTTTGACATCCAAGTTTCCTTCTTTTGTGACACTATCTTAACACATCTGTCTTTATCTTGTAATATTGTTTCCTCGCCGATTAACGGTACAAAAAACTCCTGTTCTCTGGGAGTTATAGGGCTTGTCCTTAGTGGTTCAGGTGAGTAGTTGGTGGTCCTCCGGTATACCAACCACGCGAGTAAGACAACCCACAATGCATCAGCGAAGGTGGACAGGCTTACCAACCCGAGCTTTAAGAGCCTCGCATGGAGGGGAAAAAGTTCGAGCGATTAAAACTACCGCTGGAAGGAACTACTCCTCCCTGCGGGTTCTTCGTGGAACAGGGAAGAGGGTGATTAAGACTTCGGGCGTATATGTCAGCACTAACATTCTTTTACCCTCATCGTCAGGTTTTGTATGTGATAATGTGTGGAGTACACATATCTACTAAATACAAGTAGTGCTATAGGCCTATTCAGTGTTTGTTTTTTCCAAAGAACATGTCCAAATTTTATCTTTCTACTGGAGCTAAAAAAAAAAAACATACCCGAAATATCGCTTGGACAAGAAGTAAACAAGAAAGATGAAAGCAAACAAATAAACGGAGTAACCACTAAGCTACCCCCTTTGGGAACTCATATCTTCAGGGGAGAGCTTCACGTACCACCTTGGCGACCGGGGAAGGGTGAACGGTGTACACTACCTGATTCACTCGTTCTGTACCTCTACCCTGACAATCATCGTGTTCTTGGAGCTGACCAGACAATGAACGACTACTCCCCCACTATCATCTCGTAATCACTTCCCAACACGACCATAAAGAACTAATTAGGATTTCGTCGTCTTAGGCATTATTAACGAGGCTGACAGCTGACTTAAGGAGAGTGTGAGGAGGTGTGAGGCTTTTGTGTGGGGAAATTCTGAGACTTTCTGGGGTTATGTTTTAATGGAATCTAATGAAAACTTTATGAGTCTACCTCTATAATTGTACCTGTAACACTGTAACTAACTCACCAACACAACTGTACCTGTAACACTGTAACTAACTCACCATCACAACTGTACCTGTAACACTGTAACTAACTCACCATCACAACTGTACCTGTAACACTGTAACTAACTCACCAACACAACTGTACCTGTAACACTGTAACTAACTCACCAACACAACTGTACCTGTAAAACTGTAACTAACTCACCAACACAACTGTACCTGTAACACTGTAACTAACTCACCAACACAACTGTACCTGTAACACTGTAACTAACTCACCAACACAACTGTACCTGTAACACTGTAACTAACTCACCAACACAACTGTACCTGTAACACTGTAACTAACTCACCAACACAACTGTACCTGTAAAACTGTAACTAACTCACCAACACAACTGTACCTGTAACACTGTAATTAACTCACCTGTAGTGCTGTTGTTGTATAAGAGTGGCGGAACTCCCAGCGTACACGATGTCTGTAAGTAAGTGGCGTTAATTATCTCTTGAGGACACACACACACACACACACTATACAGTAAATAGGAAAACCAAAATGCGCCATGCTGGTTGGGGAATCATTTCAACACGTACGAGTATAAACTGTCTCCACTCACTCAGTCTCTCGCTCGCTCGCTCACTCACACACTCACTCATTCCCTTGTCAGGACTCGAACCTTGTATTTGGGGGGAACTTGATCTTCCCAGGTGATGGCCACTTAGCCATCAGTCCTGAGTGTTGGATGGGACTGACGTGATGCGCCTAATAATGGGTACGATCACTGACAGGGGGATGCTTCAGTCAGTCAAAGTACTATACCAGAGGACGAAATACTCGCCTGTACAGTTGCTCATTCGTGACAGTCTTAAACAGAACAAACAATAAGCAACTGTAAATTGTATCTTCATGTATCCGTCAGACAATCCAGGTTCACTGTCTTCGATTTGCTTTTTCCTTACAAATGTATTAACTCAGTTGTGGGTAACGTATTAAAACTGTTTCAGGCAACTAACTCGAAGTGAATCATTTGCCTTCACAAGAACTACTGGGAAAATATATGTGTTATTTTGACTCTTGATATGTACTGATAATTGTGTATAAGTATTTTAATAAACTCACTCATGTTAACGTCGTTTAAATCAGGTTCCATGGCTTCTCCCGTCTTGTCCAGGTAGACGTCTTCCTTCAACATCCTTACATTACCGTCGTAAACATTGGGAAACTCCAGCTTAGGCTTCCACACTTTCTCCTTCTCCTGGTTAGTGAGTTTGTTCCACTCGAAAATATTCTTTAAATTGAGGTACTTCAGCCTAGGATCTTCCCATCTTATATCCACAGTCAGTTCTAAACTAACGACTCGGTTAACATCGCTAATTTTAACAAACCGGAGAATTTCAATTTTGGTCACCAACTCAATTGCCTGTTCCACAACTTGATTTTCCGGTGGTCGTTCTGCTCGATAACCTTCTGGTACGTGCAGAAGCGTACAGCCATATTCATCAGAGAGATCACTGCAGTCGTCCCTGGTGTTGCATCGCAGTGTTTTGTTGATGCAATCACCATTTGAGCACATGAACTCTGTATCATAGCAGGGTGACAGTCCGAGTTCAATAGTGGTGCCCTTTGGGTGGCTGCAGATGGAGCTGTTCAGGGTCCACTCATGGCGGCCCATTGGATAGTCGTCTCGATGAACAAGTGACACAGCCGCGACAGTTTCATTAGTCTCGGTATCAAACATTTCCCAACTGCCGCCATCCGTTCTGAAGATCATCATACCATAGTAGCCGTGGAAGTATGGCTTGTCGGCCCTGTACCCCAGCACCTCGTACATTGTCTCGCTTTCTTTCGCCATGCAGAGACCTCGAAGACGGAGCGGTCGATTTACGTTTTTAGAACACGGAACACATGATTTCCAATTTCTGTTGCACTGTGTGTCACTCCACAGCCCGTCTATGAGTGACATGAAGATGCAGTTCTCTTCTCGCTTCCCGTTAGGTTGGTCAAAGGCAAATGAAAGATTCTTAACTGTCGTGTTATCTGATATCTTACGCCACACGTCCTCATTAGCCTCGTCTGTCAGCCCCACCCACAAGTGATAATTTGAGTGGCATGGATCTGAAAACCTGCGTGAAATCGCATGAAGTTCTATATTTGCGTCATGCGTTTCCGGTGCATAAATATGATATCCAACCCTGTGGCACATCAGCATCGATTCAGCCAGGTTGCGCATTTCGGGAAATATGACATATTCATCTGTTTTCTTGCAGAGACTTTTAGAATCAATCATATGTTTCGTTACGTCGACGAGCTCCACGTCATCCATCTCACTGGAGAAGATGTTGCCATAAGCTACCTCGTTACAGGATGCCAGAAGCTGAACCTCCTCTTTGCTCAGACTTCTATTCCAGATATTCGCTTGTGCCAACTGACCCCGAAGAATTTGCGTCTTATCAAACCCTCCCCCGACAATGTCTTGTTCTTGGCCGAGGACTAAGGAGCTGTTGAGAGACAAGGGGACGGTGGGCGTGTCTAAGTGTCCATCAGCTCTCACCTCACCCCCCACATACCCCTGGTAATTCCCGGAGGAGAAGATATGGCAATAGTGAGCCCACTGGTGAAGACCCAACTCCGTGGTGAAGTTTGGGAACATGAACTGATACTTCCCGTTGTGGAAGAATGAAACCTTCTCTTCCCTTCGATCTGAGAACAAGAAAATAATTATAGCATTTCCACGCTAAGCTGGCCCGTAAGCCACGCTCCTCGTCTATAGCTGCAAGTAGCTGATTGCTTCCCCTGAGCGTTTCTCCCCCCCCCCCCGGACTGCGCGTATATACGTGTACAGGGGTAAGCCCGCATTTATATCGACCTTTTATAATAAAGATTTAAAAAATTCTAACATCCTCTCTGAAGTGCTAATGCCTTGAAATTATTTGCATTTTGATAATCCACGTATTTAACATTATTTTAGATAATAACAGGTCTGCTTACCAATTGTGAACACATTTAGTTTGAATTTTCTATGAACCAATCAGCTATTACTGTAGAAGAAGGGCGGGGTCTACTGGCCACGTTAGTGTGGACTTTAGGTAATGAAATAACAGAATTCAATGAGTCTAACAGAGCATAAATACTCACTAACAAAGTACTCAAATTACTCACAAATACTCACTTTACAAAATAAATGTTCACTCTATTCAGAAATACATTACTCACTAACAAAGTACTCAAATTACTCACAAATACTCACTTTACAAAATAAATGTTCACTCTATTCAGAAATACATTACTCAAAAATATTCACATTATTCACAAATACTCACATTGCTCACAAATACTCACATTGCTTACAATTACTCACAAATACTCACATTATTTACAAATATTCACATTACTCACAAATACTCACATTACTCACAAATAATCGCATTACTCACAAATAATTACATTACTCACAAATAAGCACATTACTCACAAATAATCACATTACTCGCAAATATTCACATTACTCACAAATAATCACATTACTCACAAATACACACATTACTCACAAATACTCACATTACTCACAAATAATCACATTACTCACAAATACTCACAATATTCACAAATACTCGCATTACTCACAAATACTCACATAACTCACAAATACTCACATAACTCATAAATATTTACAGTACTCACAAATACTACCATTACTCATAAACATTCACAGTACTCATAAATGAATATCCACATTACTCACATTACTTATATTACTTACAAACACTCACATTACTCACGTCATTCGCATATGCTCACATTACTCACGTCATTCGCATATGCTCACATTACTCACAAATATTCACATTACTCAATAATAATCACATTACTCACAAATACATTACTCACAAATACATTACTCACAATTATTCACATTACTCACAAATACTAACATAACTCACAAATACTCACATTACTCACAAATATTCGCATTACTTACATTACTCAAATACTCACATTACTCACAGATACTCACAAATACTCACAGATACTCACAAATGCTCACTTTTACTCACAAATACTCACATTACTCATAAATACTAAGATACAAATACTTGCATTACTCACAAATATTCACATTACTCACAAATACTAACATTACTCACAAATACTCACAAATACAATACTCACATTACTCATAAATACTAACATAATTCATAAATACTCATATTACTCACAAATATTCGCATTACTCACATTACTCACAAATACTCACATTACTCACAGATACTCACAAATACTCACAGATACTCACAAATGCTCACTTTACTCACAAATACTCACATTACTCATAAACAGTAAGATACTCACAAATACTCGCATTACTCTCAAATATTCACATTACTCACAAATATTCACATTACTCACAAATACTAACATAACTCACATAACTCACAAATACATTACTCACAAATACTAACATTACTCACATGACTCACAAGTACATTACTCACAAATACTCACAGATAGCGAGAGCATCAGTGTTGATGCTGGACTCTGCTAAGGACACGTGTACCTCAAAGGAGGCAAGAGACACAGGCTTCACCCAGTAGCAGAGGCTGACATCCCACGCTGGCTCATCCACGCCCTGGTGGTGGTGTTAGTGGTGACAGTGGGAGAAGGGTGTTAGTGGTGACAGCGGGAGAAGGGTGTTAGTGGTGACAGTGGGAGAAGGGTGTTAGTGGTGACAGTGGGAGAAGGGTGTTAGTGGTGACAGTGGGAGAAGGGTGTTAGTGGTGACAGTGGGAGAAGGGTGTTAGTGGTGACAGTGGGAGAAGGGTGTTAGTGGTGACAGTGGGAGAAGGGTGTTAGTGGTGACAGTGGGAGAAGGGTGTTAGTGGTGACAGTGGGAGAAGGGTGTTAGTGGTGACAGTGGGAGAAGGGTGTTAGTGGTGACAGTGGGAGAAGGGTGTTAGTGGTGACAGTGAGAAGGGTGTTGAAAGTGGTGACAGTGAGAGAAGTGTTAGTGGTGACAGTGAGAGAAAGTGTTAAGATGGTGACAGTGGGAGAAAGGGTGTTGAAATGGTGACAGTGGGAGAAGAGTGTTAGTGGTGACAGTGAGAAAGGGTGTTAGTGGTGACAGTGGGAGAAGGGTGGTGGTGACAGTGGGAGAGAAGGGTGTGAGTGGTGACAGTGGGAGAAGGGTGTTAGTGGTGACAGTGAGAGGGTGTTAGTGGTGACAGTGAGAGAAGGTGTTTAGTGGTGACAGTGGGGAGAAAGGGTGTTAGTGGTGACAGTGGAGAGGGTAGTGAGCAGTGGAGAAGGGTGTTGAGTGGTGACAGTGGGAGAAGAAGGGTGTTAGTGGTGACAGTGGGGGTGTTAGTGGTGACAGTGAGAAGGGTGTTAGTGGTGACAGTGAGAGAAAGTGTTTAGTGGTGACAGTGAAGGGTGTTGGCAGTGGTGACAATTGGGAGAAGGGTGTTGAGTGGTGACAGTGAAGGAGGTGTTAATTCAGAGTGACAGTGGGAGAAGGGTGTTAGTGGTGACAGTGGGAGAAGGTGTTTAGTGGTGACAGTGGGAGAAGGGTGTTCGTGACAGTGAGAGAAGGTGTTAGTGGTGACAGTGGGAGAAAGGGTGTTAGTGGTGACAGTGAGAGAAGAGGTGTTAGTGGTGACAGTGAGAAGAGATGGTAGTGAGAGAAGGGTGTTAGTGGTGACAGTGAGAGAAGGGTGTTAGTGGTGACAGTGGGAGAAGGGTGTTAGTGGTGACAGTGGGAGAAGGGTGTTAGTGGTGACAGTGGGAGAAGGGTGTTAGTGGTGACAGTGAGAGAAGGGGTAGTGTAGGTGGGTTAATGGCACCACTGGGAAGACTAGTGTATGTACCAGAGTTATCAAATATTACACACTTTAAAGCACTAGTCGTTAACGGTGCAACAGTACATCATAATATCATCTTCCCATAACCTCAGAGAGTGAACTATGACTCACTTGGTTACTGCAATAAATCAGGTTTTAATTTATTACCTGTCTTGAGTTGAAGGTTTAAGGTGCATTTTAACTTATCTCCTAGTCTCGTATTAATGAGGTATTGATCAGGCCAGTATGCTATGATGCCATTCTTGGCTGTTGAATGTCACTTTTATTGTTGATATTCGTGTTGAGACATTTATGTTATCAACACCGGGGTCTAGTTATCATAATGTCAATATCGTGTAGGATCGACTTAGTGTGTGTGTGTGTGTGTGTGTGTGTGTGTGTGTGTGTGTGTGTGTGTGTGTGTGTGTGTGTGTGTGTGTGTGTCAGGTGCATTATTCATTGTCATTTTGTACTGCGTTATCTGAAGCTCTCATAATATACTGGCTTTCTTATTTGTCATCGGGATGATTGATGAGACGATGACGAGAGCCCGGGGATCCACTACACTTTATGAGCAATAGTAAATTCGAAGGTGATAGCGTCGCCTGGAACTGAATTTACCAGACACGTTATTTCTGTCGTTTGTATCTTTATTCTTCAGCAGTGTTGTAATGAGTACAGTAATGTGAATTTTTTTTGAGGAATACTGTATATATATACTGGGAGCGTGAGTAAGGTTAAGAGTTGTGAATATGTGCTTGTGAATATATAGTAGCGAGAAACGATACTAAACTGAAGTCCTGTGTTTAGATTACACTCCCTGGGTCTATTGTGGAGTAAAAGCAGTCAAAAGTGGTAACGAGGGACGATTGGTAGTATATAATTTAGTAATATGTGATGGAAAAGGTAGATAGTCACAGCTAAGAGTGTAAGAAAACGGTATTTATCAGATTCAGTTGGAGAACAGGAGACGACGAGCTGTACTGGTGGAACTTTTACGTCATTGCACCAAACATTACCCTGTCCACCTGTCGTAATATATATTCTTTCTCATCCTGTATCATCATAACTTTTGGGTACGTGATTTTTCTCTTTAAGCACAAGTGTTAAATTTCGTATAAAATTATTCTGCCAAAAAAGTATTTTGTTAGGTGATCTTTAATTACGCCATCTTCCTTTATATAAAATAGCGCTCTCAGCCGCCTAAGAGAGAGAGAAAAAAAACGTTTAAAATATTCTACAGTTAGCTGCTCGCTTATGTTATCCTCGTATTTGTATATCACCACCAGGTAAATATATTTTTAGTGAGTAAACTTAATTTTTACGTTATTTCCAGAGTATTGTAACCAGGCACCATTTTATAAACCTCAGCTTGAACCGTGTTGGCGTGGCTCTCCCTATAGGTGTTAGTCTGGTATGTCTTCACAAAAATTAACGAATATTGTGTCACGTTGTGTTTACTCGACCTGGTGTTACTTTCATTGTAGAGTATAAATAAAAAAAAAGTTGACTTAACGTGTTTTTACATTCATATTGTAAACACGACTGTGGCGTCCCCTCTTGTGTTTACTACTGCATTATGCCTGGGTACACGAGGCACTATGCCAAGGTCTACGAGACTCATAATCCCACCTTGGTTGCTGGAACTGTACTGTACTAACATAAAGGAAGAACTTGACACTTATTCTTTCTTGCGCGTGGATTTTCTTCATAATTTATCTTTTACATGAATTACAGCAACCAATCCAAGAATGAAAGTTGATTCGATTTTTTTCCTAATGTAACCCCAACCAGGAAATATTTGTTAGTTCTTTACAAGAGCAAAATCTGGCAGGGTTTTTAAAGACATCCACTGATTGACTGAGAATACAAATAAGCCAAGTTGAATTATGTGTAAGTTCAGTGCTCACATAATAAAGATTTGTTTCTGCGACTCCACAAAGATACGACAATTCTCTGTCTTTCTGGGTCTTTTACATCAGCTGTCATCAGTCACCAGTGGACAAATAGCATCCTATGTGGTTATAGCGTGAACGTGATATATCAGTTTATATGTACAGTATTTCCTCTTTTTATTATCCTTAAAATTACCTAAATTGTTTGCCGATATATGCGGAACTATAACGGTATAGGCTCACTATTATTAATTATTTACTTTATACAGCTCTCCAGTCAGTGTCAACCTGTACTCAATTCATTCTACCAACCTGTCAGTTACTTTACGGCCGCTGTTTTCCACTTGCTGTTTTTAACTTCTTTTTTTTAATATCTTCTCTTAGTTCACAGATTCTGATATGAAAAATAATATTAGTAAATGATTTGGTATAAAAGTTGGGTGACTTTTAAAGGATTAATGTGAAAATATTTGCTGATGAATCCAGACGTTATTATCTTGGAGCATTATGTCTGAGTGTCGGTCCAATGTTAAAAAGAAGAGCTGACAGAATAGATAATTAAATCTTCATAAACGTTCGTGTACCTAATCTAACATTATACATTAGTTAATAACAAGTAGTGAATGTAGTTCCTGGTTTGGAGTCATTAGGGAATTAGTGAGTGACGTAATGGTTGTGATGTTTATAGGTAAGGAGTCTTAGATACCACTGTGGGAATGGATGTCACTTCCCTACCATGAGAATAGGGTAGGGTATGGTAGGGTAGCGGAGGGTAAAGTAGGGTCAGGGCATTTTAGTTGCCAACAAAAGCATGGCAGTTTGAAGGAAATCGTTGAAAATGAATTTATTACAAGAACGTAGACTCGAGAATTAATAAGGCCACCGCAACAAGGATGGGAAGTCCATTCTGGTGGTTGATTTCAGATTATCACCCGCTCTTATAGTGAAGCGTGTGGAGAAACCGTTGATCAACACAACCTTTTGGTCAGTGAGACTATCGACAATTGGCCAGCAGTTCCCAGGTGGATGGTGAATTCATTGTTGGTCTTATTATACGGGATGGTAATGGACTCGTCGCTAGATGGTGTTATGGGCAACGCTACGACGCATTGATGAGGTTTTAACATTGAGTCTGAGCCTCTGATCTATATGTAAAGACGCGCCCGAAAAGCCACGCGAAGCAAACTACATTCCGTGTGAACAACCTGAAGTAACCAACACAATAACAGACTCCATCGACTATGTAGTTACTTGAGACTTAAATAGTTCTACTTTTTGAAGCGCACCTCTCCCTGAGGTACACTTCTGTCGACACTTTACTGACGCAAAAGCTAATTGTTGGTAACAGATGTTGCTTCAGATTCTAGAACAAGCATCCCAGCACGTGGAATCGGGTCTTATCTTTACTGGTAGCTCCAAGTCTGATGCTGGGGTTCAGACTGGCGTATTCTTTCAAGCTCTTACCCGAAGTGACATGTTACCTTATGTCGTTTTAATTTTTACTGCTGAATTGTCAGCAATTCTTCTGGCCTTGATGGTGATTATTACTTATGAAGTGCCCTTCAAGCTCTAAACTATTTTAACGTTCTCAACCCTTTGGCAATTGAGATGCTGGAATGGCTCTTCCTTACACAGTTTTAAATTGGATAAAATCATGGCTCACCGATAGAACGCAGAGGGTCAGCGTAGATGGTGTTAAATCTGAAAGGGGCCGTGTAACCAGTGGGGTTCCCCAGGGGTCAGTACTAGGCCCACTCTTGTTCATAATCTACATAAACGATCTAGATACTGGGATCAGCAGTGACATAAGCAAGTTTGCGGATGACACCAAAATTGGGCGGCAAATTAATTCAGGGCAGGATGCTAATGCATTACAGGAGGATCTAAATAAACTGCAGGGGTGGTCTGAAAAATGGCAAATGAAATTCAACACCAGCAAGTGCAGCGTACTTAATATTGGAAGAACAAATACTTATAATGTATACAGCCTTAACAACATCAACCTAGAGAAGTCGACTTGTGAAAGAGACCTAGGGGTACTTGTAAGCCCGGACCTACGGCCTAGAAAACAGTGCGTTAATGTTCGAAATAAGGCAAACAGAGTATTGGGTTTTATATCTAGAAGTGTAAGTAACAAGAGTGCAGAGGTCTTATTGCAACTATATCTTGCGCTAGTCAGGCCGCACCTCGATTATGCGGTTCAGTTCTGGTGCCCCTATTATAGAATGGATATAAATTCACTAGAGTCGGTGCAGCGAAGAATGACAAAAATGATTCCGGGACTTAGAAACCTTCCATATCAGGATAGGTTAAAGAAACTTAACTTGCATTCCCTAGAAAGACGAAGAGTGCGGGGAGATATGATAGAAGTATTTAAGTGGGTGAAAGGAATCAATAAAGGGGATATAGATATAGTTCTTATAATATCCGAGCAGGATAGGACTCGGAGCAACGGATTTAAGTTGGATAAGTTTAGGTTTAGGAGGGAGATAGGAAGAAACTGGTTCACAAATAGGGTGGTGGACAAGTGGAACAAGCTTAGCAACTTTGTAGTAAGTGCGGGAACTCTGGAAAGTTTCAAAAGGAGGCTAGATAGATTCATGTATGATAGAGAGTGGTAATAACTCTCAACAGGAGCTGCCATGCACAGGCCAACCGGCCTATTGCAGACTCCTTATGTTCTATGTTCTTATGTACACAGAGACGTGGCCGTCAGGTCAGTATCTGCTAGGTACCGACAGGTGTAAAATATGTTGTGTAACGAGAAGGCGGACAAAGTGACCAGGGCTTCTGCATCTCGTCCAGCTCCTATGCTATAACTACTCCCATGTCTGGATATACGTCCTAGGATTAGAACAGCCATGTGTTATGCCTGGCCGTGTTTGGTGGATCCCAAATTAGTTCTGGAGGATTACAGTGGAGATACGCCCCTGGACATATCCCCTAATGCCACGGAGGTGAGAAACTGCCTTGGCCGGGATTTGCATTGACCACTCTAGGTTGACACACAGCCACCTGATGACATGATAGCCCCTAACTGCCTGATCCTCTTGACCTTAAACCACTTGCTGGTTGAGTGTCCTAGGATAGGGGACCTGGGGAGGCGCCATCTCTCCAGGTCTCGGGGATGTTATGGTAATCACCACCTACAGTATCTTGGTTCTCAGAGTAGATATCTCATTTCCAGAGGATGGAGCTTTTAAGCTTATTGAGGAAGCTGACCTCCGCCAGCATATATAACAGTTCATTTTTATAATCTCTTAATTATAGATACATCAATATGCATGCACAATATTATATCTATATGTTACAAAACGATATTTGTTCTATGTTGAGCTCCGGGAAAAATAAACTTACATACAACTTAACCTTGATGTACCTCTATGGAACCTAACGGAACCTAACTGTACCATGAAGCAGTAATTGTTGAAGTTCCTCCACGAAAAAAAAACTTTCCAGACTCACGCCCAAATAACACTCTTCGTGAATACTGTGTGAGCGCGTAACGTCATCATGGAAGTATGTATTGATTACTGGTCACATCCATTATTAGCACGAGGAGTCCTGACTACCTCAAGGTTCGTTCTACCATACGCTGCCTGGGAATTAACGTCCTTAACATAACTATATTTTAATCCCCTCTGTCACCAACACTCGGTTACACCATTAGGTTGGTCATGCGTGGTACTGGCCTGTATACGTATATATATATATATTAAGAGCAAAGTACAAGAGAGCTTCAGCTGGACATTCTCTTATAGCTAAAACGTTGTTGTGAGTGGTAAGAGCTCATTTGTCACATATAGCCTAGTGATAATACCACACAGCCTATGTTTATTATGGCACTTAGCCTAATGCTGTTCCTGCTAAAATTGACCCAGCTTATTCCTCTCCTATCCGTATAACTTTTTACTGTACTGCCGCAGGCTAATAATTCCCCATACTCCCACCTGCCCTACCCACTGTCGTATTATCGCACTGAGTTTATGGTTACAATCGCAAGTCTCGCAGCTTCTCCACTGTTATATTTTTTTTTCGTTGTCAGAAATGAGTGAAAGGAACCAAGAATACTTAGTCATTTTTCTTTCGTAATGATCATTTTATAACCCCAAACTAACACATAAATTTTCTGGTCTATAATTTCACATCATAAAAATTGATCATTATTTATTACAGATGAAAACTAACAGAAATTCTAATCGTACACTGTACAAGGTTCTAAAAGAAGGCCAAGCCACCGGTCGATCACTATGCACACTTAAGTTTCGTCACGATCTCGTAAATTGCATAAATTGGAAAACAAAAATATTCTGATCACTAGAACGTGCTGTGTGATCTGAATGTTTTCTGTATTAATTAGTAGGTGAGAATTGTGGTGGTGAGTGGAGGAAGAGAAAGTTTGTTTACACCAGGAGCTGACTGACTGACTGACTTCACTCGGTATGTGATGAATGATTACCACGTCACTATGTTTGTATTTTACCCAGGTTTCCGTCGAGAGATAAAAGACCCCAGTGGTAATTAATTATGTTAGTTTTGGTAATAAAATATTATCTCACTCACTGCAGTAAAAGTCAGTGTTATAGTTGAAGTCCTCCTCGCCTATCAGCTGCTTCTAATTCGGCCATCTTACCCCTGAAAGTTGATGTCTACTGTGTGATCTAAACTGTGCCCTTAAAGACCATAGTTATCGATCAAAATGTCAACTAATTTCATTCTTTTTTTTCTCTTGTTGCGCATTTTTATCTTTCCTACTTCAATGATTGTTTTGTTGTCCCCTCCTCCTCTACCCACCCATGGAGCCTCCTGCATTAAGTAAAGGCGACTCACTAGCCATTTAGTACGTGACTTACTCCCTCTACACGGAGCTCCCCCGACACATTCATGGAGAGACCAATCTAAACATTGATTACCTTATCGAAATTAATAAGTTAAAATTAATATATCAACAGAATATTACTGATAAGGAATGTGGAATTAGATGATAGATGAGATAATAACGAGTCATTTAGTACATTGTTTGGCAGAGAAGACCCATGAACTATAGTGATGGCCTCAGGCAAAGTGCTGTTTCCTAGCGCTGACAACTTCACCTGACCTGATGTCCTACTCCCACCCTCTGAGGCTCTACGATGAAGTGTGCCAACATCTCATTAAAGTGTTGACAACTTTTTTTTCCTCTCCATTTTTTGGTATAAGAGTTTTGACATTTCATGTAAGTAATTATATTCCTGAATGAGTTTGTGGGGTATGGAGTCTCACTCGTCTTTGTGTGTATCTGTCCGTGATGTGTCCTTCATATGAACGTGATGACCATTGATGATAATTCTAGGTTTTCATGAAATAAGGACGAGTTTAACAAGAGATATGGTCCGATTATTCCAAATGTTGACGCCCTCAATTGACTCATAAGTTCCTCAGTGTACAGTGTAAGTCCAGCTTGATTGCAGGCGACGCCTCATGTGTAAATCACTCCAAAAACTATCTTTCCAAATTAGTATGAGACAATATGACACAACAGACGAGGTATTTTGACAACCCTACCGAGACAACAGGAGTCACAGTGTTCATTTTGAAATGCATTGGATCCATCTCGTTCACTTCTCATCCATTACAAAGTCAAATAAAATATGGATGGGAACTCATACTTCTCTCTACAGATACCCAGATCAACAGACTCAGCAACACGCGATGACCTAAGTGCTAATAGAGACAAGATCACAGGTTACTCCTAAGCGTGCAAGTGTTAAAACGGTATTTTGTTTAAAGTCACTGAGTAGATAAAGGAGTCGTACTGCCAAAGAATATCTGGACAACCATAAACTTTTACCCTCAAGCTCTCAGGTTAGGTTCTGTCTGCCAGGAGAGAGAGAGAGAGAGAGAGAGAGAGAGAGAGAGAGAGAGAGAGAGAGAGAGAGAGAGAGAGAGAGAGAGAGACTTTTTCACCTTTGTGGGAACTTGTCTCTCACTAAAGAATTCAGTATTTCATCCTTACACACTGACGTCACCTGAATCGATGTTGTTGTCAGTGTTGACCTGGCAATGGTTCACGCTGGCTGGCTCTTTATTCACTGCACTGGTCTAAACTAAATTATTAACTGTTACTGTGATCATACCAATAGGTGAACATTGCCGTGTATTCATAACATTACTGAGGAAAAAAATACTGTAGGAAAAGAGAGATCAATATGAACATACGCGGACATAGTACTAAATAATGATCTTTGTTGACTTATCATATATCACACGAGAGGTTAACAGCTTAACTACTATGTAGCAATGTCTTAACTGGCAGACGTGGGATTAGGTTATGAAATGCAGGATTAAGTTATGAGACGTGGGGTTAAGTTATGAAACGTGAAAGAACACAAAAAACTAACCTTCTGGGACAGGTTATAGCGGATCATAGGGTCAGCACGAGAACTCATCCATAGGTCCTCTTGCATCGAGAACACTGTCACCTGGGTCCCCTCCACAGCCATCCAGCTCCACGACCTGTTCCCTGAACACACACACGTACGTATGTTGCCTTGTTAGTAGCTGTCAAAAATAGTAACTTCGGATAAACTGAAGATTAGCCCCCATCATTTTACATAACCTGATGATCAAACACCCTAATGCTACCTGGGAAAGGGGATTAGGTTTGGTTTGGTTCCTGGTGTATTAGTTTCGCGTTAAAGTGGCTAATATTTAGGTGCTTGAAATAAGCTGAGGGGATCTAATCTTTAGGTGATCCAAACATTATAGGTGAAAACAGAGAGACATTCATTATACCCGATATCAATTTCAGAGTTTTAATAAACCCACATTATTTGAATCAGAATGAAATTACAGAGCATAAACATAACATTAAATCATGCAGAAGTGAAAATATAAGTTACACTCGCAGCATATATACAGGTTAATTAAGTGAATTGAGAAGCTTCTTGTAATTTGTAATTGCATACTTTAAATGTTAAGTGCCACCTTACCTCTGTAGTGCACCTTGGTTAATTATAGTGTGGTGTTCTAGGTCTAACTAGAACCGTTATCTAAGACCTCTTGTTGTGGTGTGTGTGTAATAATAATAATAATTAACGGTTTATTGAAAAAGTTCTGCAGCCCGAAGGCTGAAAATATACATTAGACAAAAATGACTTATTACATACAAAGACATGGGGTGGGTGGGTCGTTTAACAAAAGCTTTCATTACTAAAAGGAGAAGGAACATGAATTGAACATACAAATTATTATAGTTTGCAGTTGATGGGCCGGGCTGGTATGTTGCCATACTGTGTGAGGTCATGTATGCCACGTGGTGCAGTAACAAGGTCCTCGGGTGTTGAGATGAAGGACCTCACGTGGTCATGAAGACACCGAGGGGTGTGGGTGGTTTCACAATACCTCACTCTCTGCTAGGTGGTGGTTTTATCTTGTAGTCAGGTGTAAAGTCGACCTGCTGTTGTTCCCAGGGTGGACGGATTAGCACCGTCTGGTCAGAGGAGGGTTCCCAGGGGTACTTATCTCATTGGTGGGTCGCAGCTCTCACTGGTACTGTCTAGTGCTGAATTCACTGGATTAAACACTGCTCATCCGTTTTCGTCACTGATCCCACTTCTCTCCAAAACGAAATTGTCACTTTTGATTATGTTCATATCCCGGTGGTGAGGATGGGTCGAGGAAAGGGACTTGGGGAATGAGCCAGCATTGGCCAAGGGGGGCAGCTGCACAGCAGGAGCGGCGTCTGATGAGTGTAGAACAAAAGCCCGGTAGGACAAAAGACCCTAGGACAAAAGACCCTAGGACAAAAGCCCCAAAGGACAAAAGCCCCCTAGGACAAAAGCCCCTAGGACAAAAGCCCCCCAAGGACAAAAGTCCCCAGGAGAAATAGTAAGAATTTTTTAAGTATTTTATTTCTTTACAGTTTATGAACACTTCTCTAACCTAACCTAACCTTCGGGAATTATGTTATAGTTATAAAGAAGTATACAAGGAATGTTTATTAAATCTGCAGTGACGTATGTTTTGTCTACTGGGGTAATTACTCCCCTGACATTCAGTGACCTCACTGGGCCCGAATCCAGGTGAAAAAGTCACAGGAAAAAAAGTCACAGATAAAAAGTCACAGGAAAAAAGTCACAGAAAAAAGTCTCAAAAAAAAGCCATGCCCAGTGATGCCCTGATGCCTCTGAGAATGCGTCACACCTCACCTATGTTCGCCCCACACCTATGGAATGTGCATGACGCCACCATGAACAACAATGCTCGTACCAACAACATCTGTGAAGGGTGGAATAGTAAGTTGTTCAACCTCGTCGGTCACTACCATCCCTCAAAGAAGAGTTCGTTGACGCTATGTGCAGCTACAAGAACGCCTTCGCAACTTGTGTGTTGCTCGACGGAGGATCACAAGACTGTAACACATTTTCTTCATGGCGTCGGTTGGAATATTAATCATCAACTCTAAATATACATGTAATACCATGCTATTATGTAAGTTGTTTTCAACATGTACGTGTCATGTAAGTACTTCAATAAATGACTGTTTTAAAGGTTTCTAATAAACTCTGATTTGTTTCGGGTATTTATAATGCTATGCCATTATGTATGTTGTTTTCAATGTGTACATGTTATATATTGCCAATAAGCGACTGACATAAATGTTTTTGTTTCATTGTCTTGTATTGTCAGTTAATAAGCGACTTAAAATACTATTTGTTTAATTACTTTAATTAGTATCTGCGGTGTTTAAAGGAAATGTGACTTTTATTCCTGTGGCTTTATTACCGGTCACCCTGGGCCCGAGGGTCACCTCAGTAAATTCAGAATGAACATGAAGGTAAAATATGTCGGGTTTTTTCTATTTATTAACACTGTTTTATATCAAAATTAAAAGAGTTATAATATTCTAATTATTTAAATTGTAATAATTTCAAATTTAAATCTACATATTTTTTAATATTTCTAATGACCCTCTCTTTAACATAAAAACAGGAGGCTTATGTCCTATTTTGCACCTTTAGTAAGGGCTTTTGTCCTAGGGGCTTTTGTCTGGGCCCCGCGCCTGATAGGTCTTGATCCTCCGGTGGTCAAGGGTGAGTGTGTGTGTGTGTATGTGTGTGTGTGTGTGTGTGTGTGTGTGTGTGTGTGTGTGTGTGTGTGTGTGTTTTAAGGATAACTGCTAAATAACGATCATTTTTATATTCCTTTATATCTAAAATTCAAGCTAATATTTATATAGGTACGATCATTTAGATTATCATACAAACTGTAATTGAACAACATCATTATTCACCTAACCTAACCTAACCTAACCTAATTCCCAAATAATATGTCTACTCTTTGATCGTAAAAAAAAAAAAAGAAAAAGAAATAGAGTAAATTTCTCCACATATGAATTAATTTCCGTTAAGTTATATCAATAAAAAGAAAAAAAATCATTTGCCTTAAAAATAAATTAAGTTTTTGGTTTAATCGGACGACGATCCTTATAGAACGTGACATATACGTGTCTGTTGATAAAATGTCCATAAAATTGTCTTCTTAGTATTTGATATAAGGGGGAGGGGGGTAATTACATTACATACGCCAAGATAAAAGAGAGAGAGAAACACGAGAGAGAAAGAGAGAGAGAAACACCGAGAGAGAAAGAGAGAGAGAGACATAAAGAGAAAAAGAGAGAGAGAAAGAGAGAAACACCAAGAGAAACATAAAGAGAGAAAGAGAGAGAGAAACACCGAGAGAAACATAAAGGGAGAAAGAGAGAGAGAGAGAGAAACCAAGAGAGACAGACAAAGAGAGAAAAAGAGAACTTATAATTTATTTAGTAACAAGTATCACGACAGCCCCCTTTGGTGAGTGAATATAGATTTGTAAAATTAAATAGCGAGACGTATTACCAGCACCTAGAGAGGACCCAACCAGACAGAGAAGGTCGATGTACAGTATATACTCAATCAATGCAAACATGTATGTATGTATGTATGTATGTATGCATGTATACTGGTGATCAACATACAACATCATGCATACTCTTACGTATTGTTCTATATAGACGGTACACACACACTGTTCCTTATATAATAGACGGTACACATGTACACGCTTCACACCGTGCCCAAAGGGTTCATGTTTAACATATGCTGCCTTAACGGGTTAAAATAGCATCGTCCTCAAAGGGTTAAACCAGTTTCCTGAAAGGGTTAAACCATCGTCCTGAAAGGGTTAAACCATCGTCCTCAATGGGTTAAACCATATATCTCAATTGTTAAACCTTCCTCAGAAGAGTAAAACGTCATCCTCGAGGGGTTAAAATATCGTCCTCAGAAGGTTAAGCCGAAACCTCAATTTTAATAATGAATATGAACCGAAGTGTGTTTGTCATACGGCTAGCAACCATGACCTCAGTCTTAAAAACTATTTCGTGAGTTCCTTAACACAAATGGTGATGTATAGAAGCATCTTTTACGTGCCATATCTGAAGGCTACCCCAACCACAGTTGACCACCTCGAGGGAAGGAAGTCATTGACTGTGTAGAATCCCTCCGTTGTTTTTTTTTATACTGTAGTCTTATTCAGAGTCATTTTGAAGCACTGTACTCCTCTAGCTTCCACTATTGATAGACTGTTTCATAGATCTACCTCCCGCTGTTTGAGAAATAACTTCCTTATATTCGTCCTTGGCGAGGTTGAACGTGTGTCGTCTTGTGTTGGTGGCGCACGACATCTCGGAAAAATTTATCTGGGTTTACGTCTTCCATCCCTCCCAAGATTTTGAATGGCTCTGTGAGATCCACCTTAGCTTGTCTTGTATGAAGAGTTGTCATTCCTATGGTCTATAGTCTAGTTCGATAATTATGGAAACAATTTGTTCGGGAATAATCATAGTCGCTCTTTTTGTTGCACCTTTTCTAGGACTGTTATGTCGTTCTTGGGGTATGGTTCTCCGTACAGTAGTCCAGGAGAGAGCGTGCGAGAGACAACGTTGAACGAACATTTTTTTCTGTTTATATTTGAAGATACGACTTATAGCTTCTAAAGTTTGGTTGGCTTTTTTGTCACTGCTGTTCTGCCATCACTGATTAGTCCTTACCAGCTGTGTCCAAGAGAGCGTTAATTAGAGAGTGGTTGTGTTTCGGGTTGCTCTATCCCTCGTACAGAGTCTTACATTTTGATAATTTAAAAGCATTTGTCACTCCTGAGACCATTTGTGAAGCTTACATTACAGATCTATTTGTGTGATCGCTATATTTTATTGACTTACCACTTAACCGTGTACAGGGACATTCGTGTCGTCTGTTAACTTGATTATGTGGTTCCTTAATATTATCATCAATATCGTCAAATGTAGATCATAAACTGGGTGGGTCGGGTCCAATATTAAACCTTTGTCGAACTGTATATCACTGAGAACTTTTATTTCCATTTTGAATGTATTGCGTTTATCACCACTCTTTGTTGCTTGTCTTCGAATAAGTGTTGCCTGGGTTTGTTTTTGATGAGG